CGAATCCGTGTAGACAACTTCCACCTGACGATCGGGCCCATAGCCAGGCGTCGCCGTCACCGACGAGATGCGGTTACTGCCGGCAGCGCTGACAAACATTTCGATAGCGACAAGCTATTTCCCGAATAGTCGTCAACGAATAAACGCACAATCCATGAAAGAATAAATGGAACCCTCGAAACAACAACCAAATTGCTGCTGTTGCCAAAAATCCAATCTATTCAGTCACGCCGAGGGAGATGCAGCAAAAACAAACAACTTCGAGAGCTTTTCAAGCGACACCCCCTCGCGAGTAGTTGTTTAGCACTGATCCAACTTTAGCAATGCAATGGATAAATATTTGCAGGTTAATTTTAAGCAAATCTTGTAATTTATCGAATATCCATTACATACTTCCAAACATCCGATAAAAGTACAATAGTAACTTCAAGTTTAAACCTAAGCATTACAGACTGTAGGATTTGCAACCTATAACAAGCAGATACAGCAATTATCTCAAAGTTGCATACATTTATTCGCACATACGTTGCCTACAGTTAGTGCTATGTCATGCGACGAAAATGAAATTCCTTTTCAATGCATTACTCCAGAATGTTCATTCAAGAAATTGAAGAATTCAGTGAATAATTTTGATGTTTTCATACCTGAAAGAGATGTCTCCTGCAGCGGTATAATTCTACAGTTGATTAGTACGGCAGCGGACGCCTATGGAAAAAGCTGCGAAAACTGGCTTTTTTCATAATATTCACAAGTCAAAGAGTAAAAGGAATCAGTTTCGGGAGGTAAAAGGGAAGAGCAGATGAATACGTTTGATCATCTCTGCTTCAATTCCTCCCCGAAGCAGGACTCATGTTTAAATAGGGAATTGCTGTTTCTTTGAGTTTCAACATAATCCTTCAAAGACAAAAAGAAATTATTGTTCTGGCAGAGAGAAATCAACCTCTTTCACAGCATTGCGAGGAATGGAGTTTCTTTTGAACGTGTTTTGGTCATGTCACCGTTGTTATGATGGATGAAGATGACTGTTATAACGAGGGTCAGAATCAACGATTCAGTTTTTCACAGAATCGTTGACTTTGGCGCAGAGGAAGGTAAAACGCAGGGTCAATTAGGAATCGCTCTATTACGTTTTCAGATACAAGTAACTTGGTAGATAGAAGATTAAGAAAAGTAAGTTTTCGCTGTTATGCAAACTGGCTAAAATTATTTCCATTCAAACTAGCTAACAAACAACTTATGCGGGAACCGATGTCTGACAGATGTCGATAACGAAGCTAGCAAATGATGTAGATAAACAGGATACCTACAGATCCATTAATTTAAAAGAGCTCTTCCATCAACGATGCAATTACCTGTACCTTACAGGAAAAAAACTGAAAATGTCGAACAAGTGATGTCCTGATTACAGAATCGGATTGTCGAGATGATCTAAACCGACGCGTAAAATACATTATTGCTTTTACCTGTCCCATTCTCTACAAGGCCAATCACTGTGAAATTTATAGTCGTTCACATAGACTCGCATTCAATTTTTCTGACAACGTTCAGCCTGATGATGGATATTTTAGATAAAAGTGAAAATGAAAAGACCTTTGAGACACTTGAACATAAAATTCATTTAGACGTCGTTCAAAAATGGAATCTTGAAGATCGGTCTACAAAACTTATAGTAAATTTCCAAATTCTACCGACTGGAGTTTCAGTGTTCTAGCCACAGATCTGTGTCTCCAAAGCAACATTATTTCGCTTGAAGATATACGACTGTGTTAATTTCACAGAGGCACGATCGTAAATGAACCATTCTCTTACCTGATTTCATTACCGTTTTCCTTTCCAATCGTATTTTTAAAAATTCAGTTATTCCTTGTGTTATACTGAAATTCTGCACTGTATCGTTCGCATTAAATCTTGAGGAATTAAGAATTTTAAAAAGAGAAAAAAATTCAACCATGAACAGCAGTAGAAAAGTGTCATTAACGAAGTGGCTGGAAAAACACGCTTCTGACCTTGGTAAGGATAAAATAGCAAAAAATATAAAGAAATATTTAATTATCCTAGACCAACAAGAAGCACAATGAAAATTTTTTTTGAAACTCGTTCGATAATCCATCATTTATCAGAGCTCCACTTTTGTTTTGTAGTAACATCAAATCCGACAGGTGGTTCTAAAACTCATGGATCATCCATCAATGGAATGTTTTGTCACTGAGTATGGAAGAAGTTTCCGTGCAATCAATGCGCTTATTTTTGATTAAAATGTACAATTTTTGAAACAAAAAATTTTTAAATATGACGCAACATTTCAGATTTTGGGCTCTTCGCTGAAACTACACTTTTTTCGGCGAATATTGATTAAACATGCTGATGGCAGATGTTTTAAAAAATTTGAATGATTAATTTCGTTATTTTATTGCGAATCCAGAAGTAACGTAACAACTATGTTTCTTGACCATTGTTCGTAAAAATGTTGCATATCAATGTGGCCAGGCATAATTTGGGTGAACCGCAATTGCTGCAGTTTTCCTATTTGAACCACACACTCATTGTTGCTTGTACCATACCTGTGCTTCTACTGGATTAAGAATAAGATGTATCATGGAACGGAAATAAATGTTGCCAGGATTTTAAGGTACTAGAGGTATTTGTTTCTGGTAAATACTTGGAACTGCAGCACTCACATTATTCACGTTATATCTTATGGAGTGTGACTCGTATAGCAACAAATTGATCTAAAATCAAAACATATGCAGCTGAAGGAAGGTAACACGAAATAATTGTTGAAATATTATGGCACAACAGAGATAATAATTCTGAATAACTCACATGGGTGCATGCAGGCTTGTTGATCTTGCAATACGCTGATTAGGCTATTACCGCCGCCGGAAGCTTCATTTCTTATATAGTTGGGTCCTTTTCATAATCATTCTATTCACATTTGATTATTTTCTGATAATGATATTGACTTGCCCATATTCTGACAAACTAGTTCATTTGTGGAATGCTGTCCTATATTTTGCTAAAGCTGAAATGTCGCCGTCTTCTCTGATTAGATACGCCCTCTATACTTGTAAATTATTTTTGACTATCCCTTAAAAATGTACTGAATAATAAATTTATGAAATCTGCTTCAAAATCATGATGCAATGTACATACTTTGTCCCAATGTCCTCCATACTGGTACAGAAATAGGTAGATTTTTAATGATTCTTGGACAGTTTATCAACCTGAGAAGCAGTAGTTGCTGCTCTTAGCGCAATCATCATTTCACAGAGTAAATTATTGACCAAAAAATAGAGTTATGCTTCAACTGTTCGATCACTTTCTCAACCAATTTTCTTTGAGATAAGGAATTTGATGAAAATTTGGTTAAGTTTTCAAAAGTGAATATAGAGTTCGTTGTAATTTATTCGTTCAGGAAAGTCAGAACTTTAGTACTGTAGTTTTCTTATGCAAGTGTAAAAATTTTTCTGAGTTTATTCCCTTGGCGTAAGGCAGTTTTAGCTGCTTATGTTGTTACGATGTTCTTGTTGAGCTACTTTAATATATGAGTCAGTTAGATGCAAAACTGTTGTGGTGTTTGTTTTTTCACTCTGTAGATAAACATTCTTTGGTTTTAAAGCACGTTGTTGAATATATTCCATTCAATTTCATATTTCATGCATTTCTGCCGTAATAATCTTCTAAACCAAGTTTTTATTTCTGCTTCATAAACTGTATTGCATGTTTAGTTGATTGTTTTTGTCATCGGCTACCGCGGAGCTAGCTCTTGGACCATCAGAGAATTCCTTTTTTAAATATGTATATCTGAATGAATACTGATGTCCTGATGGAAGTGTGGCAGTACTGTTAAGTTCTTGCATATAAAAATTCAGAGGTGACTCGCCAGCATCAGGTGGTAAGACTTCCAAATCTGACTCTAGCCGATCTTTCCAAACTGCCTCTCGTTGATGTATTCGGCTGCTAGAGAATCGTCCTATTTTTCCATGTGGTATGGCTGCTAATTGAAAGTTCTCCTTAGAGTGTATCTCAACGGCTGTAAATATTCACAGCATAGTCTTGCCGTCATAATTCTGGCAGCAGCCGAGACACAAGCCACAGGATTCCTGTGACGCAACAAGTTTCCTTCGTTCGGGGTTACACGTTTTGTTGGTAACCACATATGATAATCAGCTCTCAGCTGGGTAAGGTCTAAATGCAGCCTCTTGAGGTGCTTGCATCGAACAGCATTACCGCAGATCGCCTATTTTATGACTACATCAGAATGCCATGCTGTCCCTGTTTTTCATTTTGCAGCGGACCGCAGATTATGAAACTATACAAGCACCTCAAGAGCCTGCATTGTCAGAAGCCAATTTTCGTTCTTTGAGTAGTCTTTTAATCGATCATGCAGATTGGTGATGAGAAAGGCTTAATGAAGTTCTTAGAAGGGTAATCTGTTCGGAGAACTAGATCAACTGCTGTCGGCGACTGCTCGAA